ACCACTTGCAAGAAAATAAATCTTTAATTGAATTTGATTCTCATATCAAAATACAAATTCATTTCCTTTTTCTTGTTTATTTTCTCACAATCCCTTAAAGAGGAAAAATTAATTCAACAACTTGGGAGTCATGGACAGGCCCCGCTTTAACGAGAAAAAACGAGTATAAAATTGTCTCTTTTGTCTCTGAAGTAAACAACATCTCATGACCGTACCTTCAAAAGAGACATACTTTGTTCAGTTTTCATTAGTTGAACTTTACTTCCGAGGAGATAACGTCTGGTTCAAGTAGTAGATTTTAAGATATGGTGATGAAGACCCTTGCTTATTTACTGGTTTTAAGCCTTGCTCTGGTTTTTCGGTTCCATCTCGCTGATGGATTCACTTTTCCTTCTATTCTGGATGACGCAAGACAAGCCATGATGAAGTTTTCTAAACCCGCGACCACGACCACGACCACCCCAACCAAACCTACTGTGCCTGGGGTAACGTAAAACTTCCTCGACCAGTTTTAGAATAACTTGATTTATTCACACAGAAATCTAAACGGCTGACGAGTTTTATTTTATTTTTATTTTTTTTTGTTTTTTGTTTTTTTTGTTTTTTTTTTGTTTTTTGTTTTCTTCTATTTCCAAAATGTTCATTCAGTGTATAAGCCGAAGCTAACAATGTAAATAAATTGAAATTATTAATTGAATGCGAGAATTGAAAAAGAAAGAAAGCTTTAAAATTACTAGTTGATAGTGAAAGAATAGATAAAATGTATCTGAAAATGTTGAAATATAAGAAAATAAATTATGCTGATTATAATTCGGCAAATAAACAGTCCTGTCTTTGCAGGGCGGTTGGTTGGGCGGAGGCCGCCGCCGAAGAAGATATGTCAGACCGAGACCGCCTTCTCGCACCAAGCCGTCCAACAGCTTCCTAGAGGTTCTAAGTAAAGTTGAGAAATCGGTCCTTGAAGCTCAGGCAAGTGGGAACAAGCACTTCTTGAGTCGAGCAAAGATGGATACTTTGATCAATAATATCAAAATCGCCCTGAAGAAAAGAAGTTTCTTATTCGCTCGGGAGACTTTGGGGAAAGCACTTTATAAAGCGCTCACAACTCGTTCTGGACCGAGAGTGAAACGTTCGGCTTCATCAGCAAAGCAGTTCTTGGATAAACTCCAGAAGGAAATTGGCCAAACAAAATTTAGTGAGCTATTAGGCGTTGAAGACTACAAGACGCTGGTATTCGCTATTGATGACACTGGAAGTATGGGGGGTGAGATTAGAGCAGTGAAAGACATTTCTTCAGCCATCGTGAGGACACAGGCAGGAAAAAAGACGGTGAATTATATACTTTCGGTCTTCAACGATCCTAGTAAGTATGGTGCCTTCGTTCATATACACCTCTTTCACAAAACGTTTTCATTCGGAGATCTGAAAGCTGAGACCGACTAACATGCTGCAAATTGGTCAGTAATATATTCAATGCCGAACAACGTAGTTTCCTTTTAGATTGGAATATGAAGCATGACCTTTGAGAAAGAAAGATGCTTTTTCGTTTTATGCCCAGAAAACATAAAAACCTAAAAATTCTGTTTAGTTTCAGATCATCCATTACAGATCTCAGACCGACTTTACTTTATCTACTCGCTCTATCAGTGCTCTAGTCCAAAAATACTTAACGTTTATAGCTAAGTAATTATAATCAAATATATATTAAATAAGATTATAGCAATAATTTGAGAAAGGTCAAAACAAGTGTGAGCTCATGAGCTCACCTCAGATCAAACTACGAACCTCTGGCTTTCTAGGGAGCGCATTTCCATCCCAAATACTTGCTCCTTTAATTTACTTATTGTTCGGTTCTTGTTAGTGATTGCCATCGTTGGTGGCACACGCTATTAATGATATAAAAGGAATATATATTAACATTCGTTTTTTAAATTGTTTAGAATAAGTAATTATTTTGTCATTTCCAGCAACCGGTCCCGTGATTTTCAAAGATAGTGGTACAGAATTCATCAAGGAGTTACAGAAGTTAAGAGCCCACGGTGGAGGTGATTATCCAGAACTGACGTTCAAAGGCATGTTAGATGCCATGGAAGAGGGCCCAAGAGAAGGCTCACCAATGTATGTGTTCACAGACGCAACGGCAAAAGACCATACGAAGGACAACATCAACACCCTGATCGGTGCCGCAAGGGATTTTGGTGTCAGCATCAACTTCTTTACTACTTCGGCCGCCTCGTCGTTCGCACCGTTTGTTCAAGTTGCCCGAGAAACCTGTGGGATGATACTTCGACTGGTAGGCTCGTCAGAGATAAGGAAATTAGAAAGCATCACCAAATTGTCTTTGCGAAACTCCGGCGTTTGTATGACTGGTGGAGATGATGGAGGCTTCTTCGGAAAAAAGCGTGCAGTCTCGAGAAGCAAGGTTATACTTGTAGACGATTCGGTGAAGAATATGATCATTTCAGTTTCCACCCAAAACTCCAACCCAGTAATTGTCCTCAGGGATCCGTCCGGTAGAAGGTTCACTGGAAGAAAAATATCTCTGTATCGGGCTGCTATTTACGAGCTTATCAACCCGACTCCTGGTCGATGGACGCTGTCAGTTGCTGCGAGTGCTGGCAAGTACCACTATCTTGTCAGAGGATCTAGTGACTCAAACATCGACTTTGACTACTACTTTGTAATGCTTCCAACACGGAAAGGAAGATACCCCATCCCAATCAATCAGCCACTCGCAGGTAAGTAATTTTGATTAAACCTCGGCAGAAATTATAAAATAGTAACTAATTAAAGGACTACAAATCGTACGCTTTGATTGGCTAAGCTATATAGCGGACTAAGTGCGGAGACAAGGAAAGACAGAAAAGCGTGTCCCCGGTCGGCCCGTCCTATCCCAAGTATCCCAGGATATTGAAGAAATCTTAACAAAAATCTTTGACAACTCAAATTTTATTATAAAGCCACGTTCTTTTCGTTTTGTTTAAATTCCATCAACAAAGCGTTTGTATTTTCTTCTCCTTCTTCTTCTGCTACTAATGCTTGGCTTCTTGCTCTTGTTGTTTTTGTTGTTGTTGTTGGTTTCTTCTTCTTCTTCTTCTTTTTCTACTTCTGCTGCTGCTGTTGCTGCTGTTGCTGCTGTTACTGATGCTGCTTTTGTTGCTGCCTGACTTGTTGTTGTTGTTGTTCATCTTTTTTTTATGCTGTTACTTCTTGCTGTTGTTGTTGTGGTTGATAATGTTGTTGTTATTCAACTTCTTCCACTGCTGTTGTTGTTTCTTGCTTTTGTTCTTATTTCTCTCCTCTCATACTTCCTCTTCTTCTTCATATTATATTATAATTTGTATAATATTCGTTTCTTTTTTGAAACTTGTAGGTCAACGCGCCAACGCCATCATAACAGTAGCAGGGGCTGAAAGGATCCAAAGAAACAGGCTCAGCGTTGAACTCATCGACAGCAGAAACGGAAGAGTACTAACGACGGTCGCCATGACACCTCGCAGCTCATCAAAAGTTCATTTCGTCGTGTCATTTACTCCACCTTCAACGCCATTCAAATTCAGAATGAAAGGTCGAACCAAAGCAGGCCACGGCTTCGAACGCTCATCCAGAAAAACCATCCGAGCAACTACTGCCCTCATTCGCGTCTACAGAGCCAAAGATGGTCAACTGACCATTCCCAGAGGAAGACGCATGTACGTCATTCTATTGATCTTCAACGTTGGCCCAACTGAAACCTTTGACGTCTCTGTTAACGATCCAAAGCGTTATGCCACAACAAGACGTAAACAACGGGTACAGGTCTACAAAAACCGCAGCCGTAGATTCATTCTGTGGTTCACAGCTCCTTCGAGTGCAACACCAGGTAAAGGGTACCCTGTTGCTGTCACCATCAAAGGAAGAAAGTCTCGCGTTGAAACAGGCCAAATCCTCAACCTTATCGTAGCCTGAGGCTCGTATGAAAGGCGGAATGACGGATCGATTTAAACATGATTTAAAAAGAACAGAAAAGAACAATTTAGCAGATAGGGTAACTTTTAAAACGGAATTCTTGGTTCCATAGATTAAATAAGGTGCTTTGGTAATATAATGTTACAAAAGATAAATTAAAATGCAAGAAGATAAATTAAAATACAAGGTATCATTTATTAGTGTTCTTTACGGATTAAGGGAATTTATGGTCATTCACATCGTTTTGGTGCAAATAAAAGAATATTAGTCAGATATCAGGATATCAGGTGATAATGAGGCGGCATTCTTTGATGTAATTAAGTTCGGTGCAT